CATGCTAGATATGCTGCATTTCAGATACTTAGGAGACGTTCAAGTACAGAAGCTTGGTAGACAGATATGTGTATCTAGAAATCAGGAAGGATTTGAGGCAGACAGCAGATATTTTATAGTACTTAGGATTACCCCTTGACTCTTCGAGCAGGCTTAGACCAATTGTGGTATTTGGTTTCTAAGGCTGCTGCAACAAATTACCATGAACTGGGTCACTTAAACTAGAAATTGATTGTCTCACTATTTGGAGGCTAGAAATCCAAAGTGAAGGTGTCAGCAGGGTTAGTTCCTCTGGAGGCTCTGAGAAAGAATCTGTTCCATGCCTCTCACCTAGCTCCTTCTGGCTACCAGTAGTCGTTAGTGTTCCTGGCTTAGGATGATGAATAACTCCAGTCTCTGCCTCCATATTCACAGGGCCTTCTCCCCTATGTCTCTGTGTCAGATCCTCTCTCCTTTCTAAGAACACCAGTTACTGAATTTAAGGCCCACCTGAAATCCAGGGTGATCTCATTTCAAGATCCTTAATTACATCTGCAAAGACTCTATTTCCAAATAAGGTCACATTTACAGATACCAGGTTTAGGCCATGGACATATCTTTTTGAAAGACACAATTGAACCCATTACAAGTGGTTTCCCGTGTTTCCTTCTGCCTTTTAACAGTTTCTTCCCTTCTGGAGCAGCTAGAACTCTTTCTGTTTCAATTTTATCCTAAGATTGCTCATGAATTTCCTAAGCTGACCATGGAATTTAATAACAATAAGCCACTTTAAAAATATAAACTTTAAATAGATGCCATATTATACCATTTACCATTTTTGTAACGGAACAAATGTAAGGTTGGTGGAAGAGTTAAATGAAATAACACAGGTTATTTCCAGGTTGTCCCTTTTTTTTCTGCGCCTGAAAATATATAAAAGGGGCCTTTTTAATTTTGAGAATTTTGTTGGTAGTGATTAAGAAGAAACACCAAGGCATAAAAAATCAAACTATGGTGAATTTAACAAGGTTACAGAATCTTGCAAATTTCTTACGCTAATGATCCCTAATCTACATTTCCTAAATCTCATTTGAAATGCTAACTGGAAGCCATATTGACATTTGCCTTCCCACTTCCCTCCTTAGATTGAGGCTCACCAAACCTCTCCTAAGCACATACCCACCTTCTGATCCTACCTTATGATGCAGTTGGTGCCTAAATATATAATGCAAGCTGAATAAAATCTGTCAAGTAATCATTTGGGGGTTTGTATGGCGTGACTCCCTTTCCTTGAACCTCTGTACCAACAAGAAATTATACCCCTTCACATATTTTATCATTATGGTCAAAGTCATACAATAAGACTGCTGAGGGTGAACATATAGAGAAAATGAAAGAGAAAAGAAAAGAAAGGAATTAACATTTTCTGCTGCCTCCTCAGGTACCAAGTGTTATCTACTCCTTCACAAGATGTGTTATTTTGTTTAATTCTTCCATCAACCTGACATTCATTTTGCAGTTGATGGGAATGGAAACCCAATGAGATTGTTATAATTTGGCAAATATCACACTTCCCAAGAAATAGAAACCCAGACCCATCTGCATCCAATGCCTAAATCCTATCTATTTCACTATGCCCTTTTGTAAGTGAACTGACAGTGAATAACTTTCATGGACCATTTATTATGCAAGACTGTATTAACTCATTTATGTTATCTAGTGAATGTTATCTCCATTTAACCAATAAGATAATTGAGATTTTAAAAGGTAAAACAATATGTACAATTTATAGAGCTCGTTAAGTGGCAAAGTTACGGTTTTAATTCAGACTTTTCCAACTCCAAAATGGCAACTTTTTCTGAAGATTGTAACTGTGGACCAAATCTAAGGAGGAGATGAAGAACAGATCTCAGGCAAGGCTATGAAGCTGGAGGAGGCAGAGAGGAAAGGGGATCCCATGTTATGATGAGAAACAAAGAAGAAAGGAGTTTCTATAATGAGGGGATTGTCAGTGAGGTCATTCTAAAGTCATGGCAAGTGTCCCTTGAATTTGGCGATCTAAAAGAGCAAGGGCAGCAGAAGCAGAATTGTAGCAGAAATGGAAGAGTGAGGAAGGAATGAGAGAGTATGATAAAAATCTTAGAAGGTAAAGAGAGACAGTTGGAAAGAGAGGGCAACACAAAGTTGAAAGAGAAACTATTTGCCCATCTCAGGTGGAGAAACTTAAGTACTTACAAATTGAAGTGGTAGAGATGGTGAGGAAGTTCAGATCTGGATGACATAAATGTGAAAGAGCATGACCAATGGAGACATATAGAAATCTAGAGCACGAGTTGAGGGGATTTGCCTTGAATCAAAGTAGGGGCACCATTTTCACTGAAACAGGAGGAGACAATGGGCAGAAATGGAGACAGATTTGTAACTAGCATGGGGTAGGAGTCGGGGTGGGGGTGGGGCAGGAAGGTGAGAGCTCAGCCTTATTGGTCTTTCCAAAATTGGAGTTGAAGCCATTTGGCAGGAGAGGGAATCAGCAAGATTGGTAATTTAGTGACTGTGATGAGAACAAAATGGGAAGAACCAGCACACAATCCTATTATGGTTCAACTCTGTAATATATAAATGGCCTTAAAATTTAACACAGCAGATACAAATGTTAGATTTCATAGAGCATTTTAACTAAAATTCAAGAGTCTCTAAAAGCAAGAAGGTTTATTTTAAAGTGGACGCCTATTTCCACCTGCATAGGAACACACACCTCAAACTGGAAATAGACATTATGGAACATATGTCTGTCAGTTATTCACCCCCATATAATTTGCATCCCTTTTGAATCTATATTAATCATTTTTCCTGCACAACATTATCTTGGCAGCACCTAAAAACATAAAGAATTCATACTTTTATTCAACGCCATGTGCCAAACCACTTCAAAATGTATTTGTGCTCTGGAGGAGTTAAATAGACTGCGAAAATGCATAATGCCAAGTTGTACATAAACAGGGGTTAGAGCATAGGAAGATCAGGCTGATCCTCTTAAGATCTTTTACTAAATGAACATATCCTGAGACCATCACTGCCCTATACGAGCTGTATTTCTTTCTAGAGTAGTAGTGTACATGAACAGAATCAGTTCAAGAATAATATATTAAGAAGGTTGTTCAGGAGAACCAAGACAGGATGCTGAGGATAATAGAAGGTTAAAAACAACCATAATTTAAAGTAAGCATTAACCCTAAAGGCTTGACCTAGGTCTAAATAGTTTTTCATGATTCATATTGTATTTGTAATGAGCAAGGATGTTTTGTTCTTTGAATACGTTCCAATGAATTTAGCTCCGAAAAGCAAAACCTATAGTCGCTCTCAAGGCTCCTCTTGCTGTCTCCTACACTGGGACTTATCTTTCTGCTTCAAGGAGATCAGAGGATGAGGTCTAGTCTGTGCATATCGGCGGGGGGCGCGCAGGGAAGCACGGATCATTTTGAAAATCTCCAGCACTGAAGCACTGTACTAATCTGACACCAGCTTCTTCAATAGAAATGTTTAAGCAGCAAGAAAGTATTCTATGTTTTTTGGCAATCAACAGATCAGATAGAAGAGTCTAGCAATACGGCGAGGATGTGTAATCTGACATGATTAGACAAGGCTCTTTAGTACCAGAACATTCATAATTGAGACAAAGAAAGAGTATTAATAACACTTTCCTAACACGGCAGTTAGCCATTTTATATTTCCTTTCTTTAATCTTAGTGTTTTTCAACAAATCATGGGATTTAATAGCGTGTTTTGGCAGATTAGAGGATTTATGGCCCAGATGTTTTTTGTTCTAAAAATGGATTAGGGTGTAAAGTTTGCTGGAATCCATGGAACATGTTGAGGCAAGCCGGTCATTTTATGTGTGATTAGTGCCTGCCTTCTGTCTCACAGTCCCTCCATCTGTCACAATTCACCAATGGATCTGGTTAGATTTAGCCTCTGTCACAAACAAGTCCCTTTTCTGGGCAATTTCATATTATAGATTCAGTTTATGCCATTTTATGCCCTACTTAAAAGATAGGGAGAGTGAAAGATGATATATTAGCTTTCCTTTCAATATTTACAAAACAGTCTTTTCCCATCGGTATTCTACCTAAAGTCGTGCAGACGATCATAATAATGTGCATCAAATAAATAAGTGACCAGTGTTAAAATTAAGTTAAAAAAATTAGTGTTGCTCCTTACACCTGTTATTCTTTAAAAGAAATATTTTGACAATTTTTTTTTTTTTTACTTTGGATTGTGGAGCTGTAGACGCAAATTGGTCATTTGACCATCTTATTAAGAGTGTGAATTAAGTGTGACTGTGGCTTTCAGTAGTCACAATTTCTTATCATACAATTCACAGGTGCTTGGTTCCATTCTGTGCTTGAAATTTGGCCCCTTAACTCTTACAAGTTTGTATCCATAGCAAATCACTGCCACCTGTAGTTTATTTCACCATCAATGGAATTGGGGGTGGGGGGAGGATGACGATCTTCTTTTACTTAGTTAATAATGATTTATTCTTTCTGTATATGACAACCCTAATAGTGCTATATGCAAACTCTAAACTGATCTTTCCAATACGATGAGAGTGTCAATAATTAGAGCAATAATCATCAATACCTCCATCCGATGGTAACATTCAAATATGATCCTTACATAAAAAAATCAAAGATAGGTTTTATTTTTGCACTACAAAATATTCAGATAAATGAAAAAAATTATACTTTAAGCTTCTTTCCAAGCATATGGAAACAACTATATTTGCCTTAAATATTACGTTTGCATTACAGATGCTTGGCACCACGTTCACGTATGACTGTATGAATCAGGCATTATCAATTACTCATTCATTCATTCATTTTAGACTCATGAAATTGAGAAAGTACTATATGCCAGCCACTAGCCATTACCCCCCCCAAAAAGACATGAATTTTATGGTTAAAGGTTAACCTATCCATGCATTTGTACCAAACATAGCCTTTGTTCTGTCACATCTTCAGGTTATTTAAATGACCATGATGCTGTCACCAAGGCAATCCAAGAGGCTCGGCAGATGAAGGAGCAGCTTCGGCGGGAGCAGCAGGTCCTTGACGGGAAGGTGGCTGTTGTGAATAGTCTGGGTCTCAATAACTGTCGGACAGAAAAGGTTAGTTCATAAAATAACTGACTTTCCAAAACTGCTTAAATTGCCTAAGTGCTTTTTTTTCCTTTGTTTTCTCTCTTCTCACCACCTCAGAATGAGGGTTCTCCCTCCCTTTTCCCCTCTCTGTCAAGAGTACAGAAATCTTCATGCCCATCCTAATCAAAACCATCTGGAAACGAGACGAGTTATAATTCTCTTCTATCCATCTCCAAACCGTATTGACAATTAATATCCCCCTTCCTGCCATCAGTTTGCATTAAAATGGAATGGCATTTGAAATATCTGAGTCTGAGTGAAAGTTTTGCTTTACAGAGATGCTTAACTTGTATTTGGGGATGAGCTGGATTTGAAAATGCTGAATCTTCTTTAATCAGCATAAGCTTGGATGATACCCATGCTCATAGCCTAAGTAACTAGGATCCTGAGCCTGTCATAATATGTTTCCAATGCAAAGCACTGTCAAGTTTTAGATGACTGCACAATTGGAAATTTTGATTTTATTATAAAACAAAATGTGCTTTTTAAAACTTGGACATTATTATTATACCTAAGCCCAATGAAACTGCTGAATTTATTTGAGATGGAATAATTTCAAACTCCCTTGTTGAAGCTACACTGTATTTTACTCAGAAAAATAGTATGTTGTTGCAGAATGCTTGGAGTGATGTACTTATCTTGGTCATATTTGATATTTCTGAATTGAAATTTTAACATGTTACTGGGTCTTGTTTTCACAATCCTGTTGCTAAAGAGATACAGTAAATCAGAGAAAAAAATGATCAGCTACTTAGCAATAACTTGAAAGTTAACCATCATGGGAAGTTCACGAGACAAACAGCAGTGTCCAGAATGAGCAGCTTGCTAATTGGGTAGCTTTCTGGTTTCCCAGGTTTTGTATGGAATTTGATGTGCAGTCCCTAAGAAGCTCACAATCTGCATAGTGGAGGTGAAATCTATGTGTGATCCCCTCACAACTGTACTGTTCCTCTGGTCCAAACATGGGTCAAAAGGATGGAGAGATGACTCCAATTCCGTTTCTGGAGGGGAGAGCAGAGTGTGGTTAGGGATGCATCCCTGGCAGGCACACAGCGCAGGAAGAGCAATACTGGGGTGCAGCGAGGAGGGCACAAAATTTTTCTAGCTAAACACCAGAAGGGAAGGGGAAAAGCAAAGTGACAGCTCTAAGAAGGAATGATAGCAAGCATAAAGGAATTTATATTCAAATATTTAAACATTCTTGAAAGGATGCTTGAACAGAAATTCCTTTTCTCTGCTCCCCATGTAGAAATGAGTTTTAACACTCAGCCAGATGCTAATGCAAAGTGACTCAAGCTATTCCTCGCAAGCATAGCTAAATTGCCGTTATTTGTTAAGCGCATTGAATTCAGCTGTGGATACAGCAGTTGGTTGCATTCAGCGAGCATCTGTACCCTTTTTTTTTTTTAATCCTCCAAAGCAGAGACAACTCTACCTATCTCCCCCCTCTCCTCCCCTGTGCTGGCTGGGAATTGTCAAGTGACAACCGACCAAATCCTTTTGGACAGGAAGCCTTCATCCTGAGTTCTATATACTTGCAAAACAGGCCTTTTGGTTAGATCAGGGAGCCCATTAAAAGCACTTTGATGGTATGGAAATTCATCTTCATGAAGCTCCTAGGCTCCTAAGCAGCATGCTGTTTAGCTGTGGTTACAGATCACTCATTCAGATCGGAGGGCAATAATTGCGCTGACGGCTTGTAAGGCAATGGAAGTACATAAAATAATCCTGGGCCCTCCACCATGGCACTGCAAGTTAATCTTCTCTAATACAGATCAGCTGTTGTTCTAACACATGACTTTATGCCGGCTCCAGTGACTCCGCTCGGCCTTTTGATTAAGTACCAGGAGTGGCGCCGTCTGCATTCACTTTACGCCATAGTTGTCCGTCGTGAGGGGACTTTATTTCCACATCTCGTTCCTTCTCCACAGTCAGCCTTTATGTTATTTCTCTGATTAGCACCTTCTCTGTGTTGCAGGAGGGAGAGTTGCCTCTTGTCGAACAGCACTGCCTTCAATTTCCCCTTCTCCTTTCTAGCATTATAACTTTTCAGAAATCTGTTTTTGGAGCCATACCTGCCAAAGCCTGTTGGCCAATTAAGATGTCTCCATTCTCAAGAAGGCTCTCATCCCCATATCTCTTCACCATGCCCTTTTGATGCAGTTGAATTACGTCATCAACTACAGTCTTATATTTTCATGGGTTTTTAAGTGAAAATCTTAAAATATGGAATGAAACAATTCCATTATTGTAATAATATGGCAGACTTGGGTAAGGTGTAAGTAAATCTTTTCAGCAGAAGGATCTGAATGATACCTTGATACCTGACAATGAAGGTGTGATTTTTGAAGCTCTCTGAGAAGCAGGTGTTAACTGTGGTTGCCTTTTCCTGTTGAACTAGCTTGGGTACCATTTCTATAAGATTAATGATCTATGTGCAACTCATGGGTATGAGATAATGTCAAATTTATATCCTTTAATTAACACCTGCTACCTATGACGGGCAGTATTGTGTACTTGAGATACTCTATTGAACAAGAAAATATGTCCCCTGCCTTTATAAAGTATATAGTTTAAATCAAATTATTATTTCGATTGTTAATCATGACATCTTTATGTGTGTGAGCCTACTTGTAGGAAGTGAAGAAAGGCCCCACCCATTTTGCTTAGCCTATCAGATCATTTCTATACCTGAGTTGACAAAGGTGGCTGCTTATTCTTTTTTTTTTAAGATTTTATTTATTTATTTAAGAGAGAGAGACAGAGCGAGAGAGGGAACACAAACAGGGGGAGTGGGAGAGGGAGAAGCAGGCTTCCCTGAAGAGCAGGGAGCCCAATGCGGGGCTCGATCCCAGGACCCTGAGATCATGACCCGAGCCGAAGGCAGATGCTTAATGACTGAGCCACCCAGGCACCCCGGTGGCTGCTTATTCTTCCACATAAAGTGACAGCACTATGTCTATTGTGTTGTTTTTCTCCTAATACCTACCTTTTTAATAGATTTTTATAATTGCCCAACTTTACCCATGGCCAGAGCATAGGTAGATCAGTAGTTGGTTTGAAATTTTGCTTCCGTTTGAAAGACATAAACAGAATATAGATAAATTTTTTGCACTCTATCATATCATTTGAATACCAAAAGAAGGGCATTTCTCTCACTAAAACAATACTCCCAACTTCCTAAACCCAGAAAGGATGTGAGGTGTAAGGAGTGGGCAGGGGGTGGGGGGCGCTAGGGGGCGGGGGAGGCATGGATAAAAAAAAAAAAAGAAACAGATAGAAAGAATCTGGGAGAAAGGAAAGGGGAAAAGAGGAGAAATCCAGCCTGGTGCTTCCCACCGGTCTGAGAGGTGATAGCACGACCTGAAATTCCTACGTTGGAATCCTGCTGTGGAGATCTGTTTTCTTCAGTACACAAACCTCATACATAGTATTTTCTCCACATTTCAAATGACCAACTTGGTTGTCCCAAGCAGAAAGTCTTAATTCTGAAAAGCTGTAATTGGTAGTTAAAACAATTAGAGGTGTGAAGATAGGGACAAATGTTTTCTAGTAATATGCACCAAAACACATAATGAAAGTCATTTTTACTAAAACACATTTTAATTGAAGACTTCTAAAAGATTTCTCATTTTTTACTTTTCTTGGAAGTGCTTCAACATACCCAAAAACTGTGTATGTCAGGTTTCTTGGAAACTCTGGGACACAGTGTTATTTATAATTGTCATTTCAGGTTAATTATAGCCTGATTGCATATTCGGATAATGTTATCTTTTACCACATAGCTCTTCACAGATTCGTGTTATGGATGAATAAAAGAAAAATCTTCTCAGGTAGGGAGAATCAGAAAGACCCTCATACATTTAGTTTGTCAAAACCACCCACTTTGCTTCATTAATACCCAAGTGGCACCGTCTTGACCGTATGACCAACTGCATACTCAGGTTCTGACCGTATGTGTGAAGGTAGCCATAATTAATAGGAAATCATTCAGACCTCAGTTTTTGTCCTGATTCTACCAGGCAGTACTAATATAATAGAGACCCAGTGCACTTGACTAAAATGTGGTATTGACCAGAAGTTTCCTTGCTGCTTTCCCTCACTCCCAATGGAGTTATCCTTAGGGGAATGATGCCTATGTAGTATTTGTTAGACATGCATATCATTACATGGGTCAGGAAATCTAAATACAGTAGCTTCAACAGATAATGATTAAGTTTTAGCACATAATGAAGTTCTGTAGGAGGCAGTTGGTGGCATTAGTTTATCAGCTCAGCGATATCAGGGTTAAAAGCTCCAGGATTCTCTTAGCTTTTCCCTTAGGGTCATAAAACATTGCCGTACCTACAACTATGCCACGAAGACAGGCCAGCTTGGGAAGGAGAAGCAGTTTTCTCTTTGCTCTTTTCAGTCCTCTTTCACATAGAGATGTGTTCCGTTCCTTCTTCATTCACATGGGGGTGTTTCTTACGTTATTCACACAGAGATGTTTCACTGCACCCCTCAAGCAGACTTCCATAAACATCTCATTTGGGTAGAAATGGGTTGAGTGTGTACCTTTAAGACAATAACTGGCCAAAAGCAAGAGAAGCTGCCTTAAGTTGATCATGAATTACATTTGGGGACTGAATTAGAGACCTTAGCTTATCCTCCTGGAGATCAAGGGATATCTTAAGATCAGAGTATTTTGGCAGAGAAGAAAAGGACCAGAATGGCTATCGAATAGGAAAAGGCCATTGTAAGCCACAGCTGCATGATAAAAATAATATCAAAGCTCTCATATATTTTCTTCATGAAAACCTCGTGAAAGCATGAAAATATTTTCTTCATGAAACTGGTTTGTTTTGATTGTGTTAGATTTGTTGTCATCTATCTAACCACTTTCGTTCTAGGCACTATTATGTGTTCAGGGCCTTATACCTTGTCTGTAGTTCTTAAAGAAGTAAAGCGCACATAAGCATGCACAC